AAAGGAAGCCTCAACAATAAGGTTGTCTCCAAGTTTTATGTACTTTTGGGAAAATCTCTGATGGACCCAAGTCTCAATTTTTTAATCTAATGATAATGAATTCTTAGATCATTTCTAGAATTCAAATGAGATAACCTACTCGGGTTTGTTTTGTAAGTGGCAGACATAAGACATATTATTTGGTTGCATGAGAAAGCTTCAAAAATTTCATGGAAATTCACACATTTTAAATTTATTTTTCTGATGACCCCAAATATGTCTCACTTTCAATAGTTTATTATTTAAACATAACCAATCTTGATTGCCTTAGTGGTACATGTCATGCCTATTTTAAAACTTAAATTTATAAACATTAAATTTTAAATTTTTGTATAGCCAAAAGAAAACGTAAACAATACATTTTAAAATATCAAATGGGAAATAACAAAGTAAGAAACATATTCACAGCACCTTTGACAGTCAATGATTCATTTTCCTAAATTGCAAAAGTCTTCAAAAATCCATAAGATGTACAAACCAAACGAAAATTGGGGGAAGCTATGATCACTGAGTTCACATGAAAAAAAAAATAGAAATATCACATAAAACATGTGAGAACCAATCAGTGTCAATATAGTGAAGTACCATTTTTTTAATTATCCAATTGTCAAAAATGGTTTAGTATAAACAATTTTGAGCAGGGTGTCCTTTTAGTGAAAGGGAAACCTTCTTTTCAAAAGTTTAGTTAAGCTCCCACTTCATATCTTCTTCCACTGTGTCATGAAAATGCTGTAATTTCTACAGGATATGTGTAACTTTTCAGAGCTGTGTTCAGGTTGTTTATTATATGATAAGCCTATAAAGAGCCCATCTTACTTTCTCCTGACTTTCAATCTGCTGTCAATCGTGATGGTCCTAATGCTGGTCCTTTTTTGGGACTTCCTGAGGGAAACTAATAGTAACTCCATCCCCTAGAAGAGTAGCTATCCGTGTGACTCTAAATCTACCTAGGTCCAATTTTTAGAAATACTATCTCATTTCTAGCTATTTGCTTTCAAACTAGAGATAACTATAACTTTTACTTCTATGTTTTATACTTAGCCAGATAATCTATGTTGAAGAACAATATGACTCATTTAAGTAATGGTGAAGTGTATGGCAACTCAGAAAGAGTCCTAGAACTGAGGCTGAAAACATGGCTTTATTTATAGTCATTCTGTAAAGAGATGTCATGTATGTGAATTTTTATGTAGCGATTATCTGTTTCTCCCTTCTCCCCTAAACGATCATGGAAGCATCACCTTGCCATCTGATTTGTCTTCAAAATTTAGATGATACAGCTTCTCTTTATAGGAAAGCAACTTATTTTCTCTTGAGAATTCTATTTTTTATTCAATAAAATTGATCAGTCCTTAGCAGATAGTTTTAATCATTTAAAATAATCTTTTATTCACAAACCAGCATAACATTTGAAATTTTGGAATATAAATTTCAGATTTTTAAATTACTTTGGAACTTCAACTGAAAGTAGTAAGAGATCACTTGTCATTGAATTTCTAAGTTTAAATATATGACCATGAATAAAAAAAAGCTGCATTCAATATGTAAACAGAATATAATACTGAAAAGGATTGTACAAGATACCTCAAGCAGTTTGTGGGAAAAAAAGCATTTAAAGACAAGTTACTTTTGGTGAAAACATTTTTGAAATTCATGTGGTTTTTTTTTTTTTTTTTTTTTTTTTTTTTTTTTTTTTGCAATACTCATTTCCAATGAGTAATTTGAAGACAAATCTTACTTTGCAGACAGGATTGTGAGTTTAACATGATTTTAGAACTGTTGTGCTTACCTTGTTTAAGATAGATTGGAAGCTTTTCACTGCTCCAGTTCTAACTCATTTAACCCCAATTAAAAATAGACAAGGAATTGTTGTATTTATTAAGCAATTAAAAAAGTAAGGCAAAGCAAAATCATCAAAAATATCAATTACTATTTTTGAGTTTTCAAACAAGATGATCTTTGAATTTGTTGTAATTCAGATTAAAGTCAAGGACTATTATGTAATGATAATAATGATAAAGAAATCAAAATCATAATAAATTTAGATCTTAAAATATAAAAAATTACACTATACAAAGATGATTCCAGAATTATAAATCAAAGAAAAATGTGTTTAAATGTGTAAAAGTATATAGTTCATTGGTGAAAGTAATGTATAATGTTATAAAAACATTCCGTACTCTCCATTAGTTGTAAAATAGTTTGCTTCTGATGGTAAAGTGTTCAAATGAATGAATTAGCATTTTTTCAGAAGATGGTAAAGATATTTCCTCAATTGCAGATTATTTCATGTTCTCTAAATTCTTTTATATAAGAATCTAGAATATAAAATATTTAGAGAAAGGTTGTATACTTTTACCTAATTTGTAACAATATTTAGTTTGCAAGATGCTTAAGATGCTTTGCATATATCATCTCTCATGCTCATTTGTCCTGTGTTTCCTCTTTAGGGATTAATATCCAGCTCAGGGAGATTTAGTAATATGTTGCCAAGTATAAAGTTTTTGATAAGGAACTTCAAAAAGTGCATGGAAAAATGGGATTTAAAGATGTTTGTAAAACAAAACTTTTACACCAAAATAACCATTTTTATAATTCTGTTCTGTGAACTTAAAAAACATAAATTACTTTGTTTTCACTTTTATTTGAAAGAGAGACACAGATGGAGCGATGTCTTCCACTCACTGACTCTCAAATGTTCACAACAACCATTGTTGGGTCTCCCATGTGGCCAGCCCTTTGAAGAAATTTAAAAATGTTGAGCCACATAATATTCCAGGACAGAGGATGTTAAACCTGACTCAATAGGTGGTAGAGGTTAGTTGATTCTAGAACAGAGATGTTGCATAATACATTTTTATGCTATCACTTCCCTATTCTTACCACCATTCCTTTCCCCTCATTTCATGGTCTTACAGCATCTGTATAAAACTCAAGGACTAATAGAACTCTGAGAAAATGTGATATCAGTTTGCCAAATTCTATATTTATCACT